AAAACATGTGCTTGGTTGACAAGTGTGACATGCAGATTGGTTTTGTTGACTGTGTTCGTAAGAGTTACAAGTGGTACATGAAACTTTTCTTCCATCTCATGGACATTTCAATGCTCAATGCATATAATATGTACCAAATAAAGACTGGCAACAGACCACCGTATGGTGAATTTTGTTTGTCTGTTGTCAGACAACTCATAATGAAGTACCAGGTAACAACACCTGCTATACAACATGGTCCTCGAATTCCTCAGGATATACCCAAGCGTTTGAGGAGAGAAGGTGATCATTTCATAATACAGCTTCCTTCAACTCAGAAGAAATTTGCTCAGAAGAGATGCATTGTCTGTGCACAAACAAAACGACGGCAACAAAGACGCAAAGACACTCGGTTTATGTGTGAGGAATGTAAGGTGCCTCTGTGCATGGTGCCTTGTTTCAAGGAGTTCCACAAGCTCCAGCAGTTTTAAAACCGTGTCCAGTGATTGTAAATATGTAAATATATGATAGAACATTAGTATTATACAATATTTGTGCATGTTTATTGTAATAAACAACAGTGGTAAACAATAATATGATAATAACTTTAGTGCGGTTATTGTGTTCAATACAGTGAGTTTATATATATACATTATATACAGTATTGGTCTCTCAGGCCCCAAGTGTTAGTAGGAATAGAAAAAAATTGGAAAAGAAAAGAAAAAACAACTAAAACCACAAAATAATGTAATGCGCGTATGTGGAATTCGTCGATGTTGCCGCCACCACATCATTTTTGACAAACTTCTTGGCACTGTGTCTCGGTAAGTACTGATCAGATTTTTTTTTTTGTCTTATTACCTTCACAAAAATATGCTCTTTAATTCTGTAAGAATTTTTTTTTTTTTTTTTTTTTTTTTTTCAAAATTTCTTGGACACTGGAGCACCACTTCAGATTTTGGCCTTGGACCCTGAAAGGGTTAAAACACAGATTTTCGGTATGTTTTCGTATGGTATTTATGGTTGTATTCTCATTTTCTTGGTCTTTTTTGATAAATTAGATGATATATTACAGAAATAAAGATGATTTTGAATGGTTTACAGACTAAAAGCACCTTGAAATTGAGCTCAAAGTATCAGAAATGTTTGATTTTTGCTGATGTTCAAGAGTAAACAAATGAGGTCATGCATCCAATATGCATCAGCTGATGGGTCTAATATGCTTTCACAAATGTGCTGATATTATTTATATAATTTTTACAGTAATGCAGTAGTCTGCATAGAAGTAAATTTTATGTTTTTTGTGTATATAAAAATTCAAAATGGAAAGCAAGCGTAATATAAGAGGGTCCTAGAGACATGACTAATGAACAGAGAAAATGTTATTTTAGTGCTACGAATGTTTGTATTGTTATTTCTGGACTGTATTTTGAAATTGGTCTTCTTTGAATTGTGTATGAAATTGGCCAAATTATCAATTTCTGATCACTTTACTGGGTAGGTGAAATCGGTAAATGGGCGGTTTCTTGTACTCAGTCGATAGAACAAATGGAGTTCTAGCGAAATATCTATGAGTTTGGTAGACTGGAACAATGAAATTGACCAAAAATAGGGCTCAAATTGGGCAAAATTGCTGATGCATAACCCTTTCACTGTCACAACCCCTGCTCACAAACTTGCTCTCAGTGTTAAAGAATTTAAAAAAAAAAAAATTTTTCTTATGAAATGATAGAGAATCTAATCTCGATGGTAATGACACCAAAAGTTCGAAATTTGATGGAAAACTTATGGAATTATGCTCTTGCAAACTTAGCAGTCTTGGCGATGTATGCACATTGGCAATTTTGCCCAATTTGAGCCCTATTTTCTGCCAATTCCATTGTTCTAGTCAGCCAAACTCATAGCTATTTCACTAGAACTCCATTTGTTCTATCGATTGAGTACAAGAAACCGCCCATATACTGATTTCAACTACCCAATAAAATGGTCAGAAATTGGCAATTTGGCCAATTTCACACAAATTTCAAAAGATGCCAATTTCAAAATAGGGTCCAGAATAAACAATGCAGATATTCATGGCACTAAAATAATATTTTCTCTGTTCATTAGTCATGTCTCCAGACCTCTCTTATATTACTCTTGCTTTCCATTTTCAATTTTTATTCACACAAAGAATAGAAGATTTACTGTTATGCAGACTACTGCATTATTGTAATAATTGTATAAATAATGTCAACCCATTCATGACTGCATATTAGACTGGCCAGTTGGACATGTAGCGTTTACTCTTAAACATTGGAAAGGCTGGTGGCGGTATCGAGTTACCGTCTGCCAAACCTCAGCCTGGCCCCTCCAATAAGACATTTGTTCGTACCTTTGCTGTGTTAAAGAAGCAGCTATAGAGTAACTGCTTCTTTAACACAGTTAAGGTACGAGCAGATGTCTTCCTCGAGGGGCCAGGCCGAGGTTCAGCAGACGGTAACTCGACACCGCCACCAGCCTTGAAACGCTGCACCCAGTTCCTCACTGAATGCTCACACACACTAACATTCTCCACTATTCCTTTCGTCTTGTGCCCATCTTTGTGAAGCCCTATGATTTGACATATAGTTTCAGGTATTAAAGACTTCCTTTTACCCACAATCAAACATGTATAACTCCAAAACCAAAGGAACACTGGACAAAAGATGGGGCAGACGAGAGACAAAAGTGCAGCACTTCCTCTCACCACAGCAGCCATGTGAGCAATGAGAAGTCACTGTGAAGTGTGGAAGCAGGCTGTGACATCATGCTAACGGCTGCTACCCAGCAGAATGCACTGACGAAAAAAGACCCCCCCTGTATGGTAGGCCTTTGATTTTCATCACTGCATTATGCCGGAGCACTCACCTGGCATAATGCCGTGACGAGCACTGTAGAGCAAACAGCATGGCAAACACCAGGGATTCACTGATGTCATGTCATACTAACACTCCCCTTTTAAAAGGAAAGTGATGCTGACCTTGAGTTTAGTGGCTTTGAGATGGATGTGGGCACAAGTTTTCGAGGAAATATTAAAAACCTCGATAATAACCCATGTGCAGCATCCTTTCAGTTTTGATGCCACTAGTAGTGCCATTCTCCTAGAATGTCCTATAACCTATGCCCTAAGTAAGGAGTAACGATTCTGGAACTTTGCAAATACAAAAGGAGCACTGGTCACAGAAATAGCAAATATTGAACTTAAGCTTAAGGAATCATACAAGTGACAAACATAGGAAGAACTTAAAGCCATAAATGAAATTGAAAAAATTAAATACTTTCTTTCTTAAGCCAAATCTAGGGTAAAAACAATGTCCAGTACTGGACCCCTGCTGCTTAAATGAGTTGGGACTTAAATAGATAGTCCCAATACAACTCAGTGTTTAGTGAGCCATTAATCAGACTTAGGGTCGACAGACTCAAAATTTGGCTAATTCAAAAATTTATGATATTATCCTAACACTGCAAGACTTTGAAAAAGCAATAAATGACATGCCCAAGTCTCTGCCTCAGGATCAGACTCGTGGAACTCGGTGCTCATCAAGAACTGCAAGAAAATCCTTTCACATACCTTAAGTAGAGCATGGACAGGGGATCATCCCACTGTCACTATAAACAACAAACATAGCCCCACTTTACAAAGGTGTCAGTAAAACATTTGCTAAGAATTACAGAAAGATAGCACTAACGTCTCGCATCATAAAAATTTATGAAAGGGTTCTAACAAGCAAGATCGTGACCCACTTAGATACCCATCAGTTGCACAACCCAGGGCAGCATGGTTTAGAGCAGGTTACTCCTGCCTGTACCAACTACTGTACTACTATGACATGGTCTTGGATGCTTTGGAGGTCAAACAAAATGCAGATGTAGTATACACAGACTTTGCAAAAGCCTTCAACAAGTGCAATCATGGTGTAATAGCACACAAAATGTGTGATAAAATAATAACAGGTAAATTTGGTAGATGGATTTATAAATTAATAAATAGAATACAAGGAGCAATAGTAAACAAGAATAAAGTCAGAGGCAGCTACAGTGAAAAGCTCTTTTCTGCAAGGTATAGTACTCAATCCCATCCTGTTCCTCATCCTCATATCTGACATACAGAAATGTAAGCCACAGCACCATGCCATCCTTTGTGGAAGACCCCTGAATTTGCATGACAGTGTTATCCATCGAGGACACTGCAGGTCTCCAAGCTGACATCAACCACATCTTTAATTGGGCTGCAGAAAAATGATAAGAAGTTCAGTGAAGACAAATTTCAATTACTCTCTAATGGGAAACTCAAAGAAATTAAAACTGTATTGGAGTATAAAACAAACTGTACTGTTGGTATGGAACACTACTATGAACTGTACTGTTGGTATGGAACACTACTATGATCTGTACTGTTGGTATGGAACACTACTATGAACTCTACTGTTGGTATGGACCACTACTATGAACTCTACTGTTGGTATGGACCACTACTATGAACTCTACTGTTGGTATGGAACAATACTATGAACTGTACTGTTGGTATAGAACAATACTGTGGACTGTCCTGGTGGCAATAAAATACCTTGACACCTTAGTAATTTTTATGTTGAAATAAGAGAATTAGTGTTCCTACAGGTGGGTGCTGGAGGTAAAGAGTGCAAATGTTCCTACAGGTGGGTGCTGGAGGTAAAAAGTGCAAATGTTCCTACAGGTGGGTGCTGGAGGTAAAAAGTGCAAATGTTCCTACAGGTGGGTGCTGGAGGTAAAGAGTGCAAATGTTCCTACAGGTGGGTGCTGGAGGTAAAAAGTGCAAATGTTCCTACAGGTGGGTGCTGGAGGTAAAAAGTGCAAATGTTCCTACAGGTGGGTGCTGGAGGTAAAGAGTGCAAATGTTCCTACAGGTGGGTGCTGGAGGTAAAGAGTGCAAATGTTCCTACATGTGGGTGCTGGAGGTAAAGAGTGCAAATGTTCCTACATGTGGGTGCTGGAGGTAAAGAGTGCATATGTTCCTACAGGTGGGTGCTGGAGGTAAAGAATGAGCAAAGCAGCACAGTGCTGGAAAGGTTTCTTAGTGCTGGAGTTCCTGGCACTTGTGTTATAGGCACCACTACAGAAACTGGCCCTCATGCTCAGGTAGTATGACCATTTGTGTTAAATATGAAGCAGTGGAATATTAACTATATATATGGTGTACTTACCACCTTTTATTCAACATCATAACTCAAAAATTTGTCATTGACTGCTTTAAGCATTTTCAAACTTTTTTTTTATTTTGACAGTCTTGTCTTGCATTCTTATCTTATTTTTTTGGCTCTCATCATCATGCCCCAATATATACTGTATACTCATCTGTTTACGCTAGTCCTCAGACTTCTAAAACGTTTTCCTTTGCAAAGTCATAGATTACTGAGCCTAGTAGTAAAGTGTAAAATGTTTTATTAAGGATCTTCAGACTGAATTTCATAAATTCATTAATGATTTAATTTTTTTCATGTTAAGACATGAAAAGAATAAGAATTAGAAATGTTATAAGTGATGATACTGTCAGGTGAGAATCAGTGTAGGTGGCCAGGAAGCCACTTGCCTGAGTGTGCTGGAAGCTGCAAGACTATGGGAGGAGACCAGCTACCAGCTGGAGCAGCGTCAAGCCAACCCAGAGTGTGCTGAGGATGAGTACCGCAGCCTGGACAACCGTCTCTATACTACCTACACTGTCCCCTTCTCTTACCGTGACTTTGTCTTAGGTGGGTCTCTCTCCCAGTGTATACCATATCTATATGTATCAGTAATCCTGGGTCTTTTTGCCAGGGGTAAGTACCATGACTTAGTCTTGGCTTGTTGCTGCTCATTATAAAGTTGACCGACAGACTGTCACACGGGTAAGTCAGTAGTAAAATAAAATTTACATAGTTTTGCATCATATGTTTTCTGTGGCATCATACCTGGAAACATTTCTAGTTATACAGTGGACCCCCGGTTAACGATTTTAATCCGTGCAAGAGGGGTAATTGTTATGCGAAATAATCGCTATGTGAATGAATTTTCCCCATAAGAAATAATGGAAATCAAATTAATCCGTGCAAGACACCCAAAAGTATGAAAAAAAAAAATTTTACCACATGAAATATACATTTTCCCACACACAAAGAGAAGGATACATGCACAATAGTAGAGTAGTACATGCACAGTATATATTGTGCATGTACTAGTCTACTAAATGAAGAATAAATGACACTTACCTTTATTGAAGATGCAGCAATGACTGATGAGACACCGTGTCCTGGGAGTGCCTTTTCCTCCTGAGTACTGTAGGTCCTGTTTGGCATTTTCTTCCAGAACAGGCCTTATCACACTGTGTATGCCACTACGATTCTTAAATCTCTCAAACCAACCTTTGCTGGCTTTAAATTCACCAATATGAGCACTAGTTCCAGGCATTTTTCCCTGTTCACCTGGGTGTTAGTCGACTTGTGTGGGTTGCATCCTGGGAGACAAGATTAAGGACCCCAATGGAAATAAGTTAGACAGTCTTCGATGACACTGACTTTTTTGGGTTATCCTGGGTGGCAAATCCTCTGGGGTTAATTGTTTCTTGGTATTCTCAATAAGCCACACCAACAACGGTGCTACAGCAGCGCAGCCAGTGCAGAGCTGACAGTGCAGCAGCAGCAGCAGCTGTACCACCAATAGTAGCGATACTTATCAATGATCTTTTTCTTCATCTCTATTGTAATTCTCACCCTTATTGCTGTAGGGTTGGCACTAGAAGCTTTCTTGGGGCCCATGGTCACTTATTTTCCAGAAAAAGCACCGAAAACACTGTAATAATACGAAATATTCCGATTGTATGCTTGGATGTTACCGCGGAGGCTGGCTGGTAAACAATGCCACCGGCAGAACATGTGAGCGTGGTTCAGGCCGCGTCTCGGAGGAAAATCGGTAAGCGGGTTTTTAAGCGGTATGTGAGGCAAAATTTTTGCGATTAAAGTAAGCGGTATGCGAAATAATCGCTATGTGATGCCATCGTTATGCGGGGGTCCACTGTACAATGCATTTTGGGCAGACTTAATATAAACTAGTTATGGAATTGGAATATTACCTAAATGTTCATCAGAATTGAATGTATAGAGTTAGGAGACTGAAGTACAGGTTGACCATCACTAATCTGGCATCATCAGGACCTGTAGTGTGCAAGATTACAGAGTGATTAGGTTAGGATACACTTAACACAACTGCGATATTTATGCATCGGCGATTTCACCCACTTTATGCCCTATTTTTGGCCCATTCCACTGTTCCAGTCTACCAAACTCATAGCTATTTTGCTAGTATTCCTTCTATTCTGTTGACTGAGCACAAGAAACTGCCCATTGCCTGATTTCAACTACCCAATAAAGTGGTCAGAAATCGGTAATTTGGCCAATTTCACACAAATTTCAAGAGATGCCAATTTCAAAATAGGGTCCAGAATAAACAATGCAGACATTCCTGGCACTAAAATAACATTTTCTCTCTTCATTAGTCATTTCTCAAGGCCTCTCTTATATTACGCTCACTTTCTATTTTGAATTTTGATTCACACAAAAAATAGAAGATTTACTGTTATGCAAACTACTGTATTATTGTAATAATTGTATAAATAATATCATCCTATTCATGACTGTGTATTAGACCAACCAGTTGGACACGTATTGGATGGTGATGTCATTTTGTTTACTCTTGAACATCGGCAAAACTCGAACATTTCCGCTACTTTGAGCTCAATATGAAGGCACTTTCTTTTGTGAAACCAGTCAAAATCATATCTATTTCTGTAATATATCTTCAAACAGAAAATACAACCAGACAGAAAATACAACCATAAAACTATACGAAAATATACCGCAAAGTTGCTGTTTTACACCAAAAACATGGTCGCAGTTTTTTCTCATTATGCACTGTGTTCTGCAGGATTTTTTTTTATGTAGTGCACACTTACTACACAGACCTATTCTCTCATATGTAGGCCCAAATTTATTGGTCACATCTTATCTGAGTGAGCTGAGCTCATGGCGACCGGCAGTGGCTTCAAAGCCACCTTATTTTTTATGGACAATGTACAGTGTACATGCTTTACACAAGAGACATTTCTTTTATTCGTTGGAACCATGGCTAGTGCTAAAAGCGAGCAGGTTATAACAAATGGAGAAAAAGAAATTAGAATGGATTATGCAGCAAGTAGCACCACCAAACAGTAGTGGCAGGTTGGTGTTGCAACCCCGGAAATTTGAAATTATGCTGTCCGAAATTAGTACTGGATTACTGATTGCTAGATTGGTGATGGCCGACCTGTAATTTGATTATCCTAAGTAATAACTCCTTAGTATGGTAGATGTAGAGAAAAGAAATTTAAATACAATAGCAATTTAAGTAATAACTCTTGTTATAACTTTTGTTAAAACAGCAATGGATATTATAAGAATGAAATGGAATGATCACTCCTTGTAAAACTCTAGATTGTTATATCTGGTATATCAGAATGAAGGGATTGTAACACATGAGAAAAGTAATAGGTGTAGAAGGATAATGAGGAAAAGATGTACAGGAGGATGAATAATTGAAGAAAACTCAATTAACAGGTTTTAAAGATATGCTTGACATAGTATATTGTTAATAAAGAGGGGCTTTTTAACAGTAACTTTGATATGGTTGGCAGATAGGAAGCCCATGCAACCTGCAGTTAGTGTTACAAATTTTATGGCCTTTAATGGGCATTGAATTTTTTACTAAAGTTGAGTCAAACTGGGGGAAGAGAAATATCAGAGAGATATTTGTTTTTTATTATGCCTATGGGTTCTGTTACAGCTGTCTAGGAAAAACTTCAAAGATGGATTTATATCTGCATTGATTGTCTTGTACGTGTCATATGTTCAACAGCATGAGCGAATGTTGTATATGTTGACTTAAGTTTCAGATTTTTAACCCTTTTGGGGTCAACAGGCCCTCTCCCAAACTTGTTCTCAGGGTCAAAAAATATTCGGAAAAAAAATTATTTTTTCTTGTGAAATGATAGCTTTTTTTTTTTGTGAGTATTATAGGCCAAAAAAAAAACATTTTTGTGATCAATACTTACCGAGATACGGAGGCGTAAAGTTGACAGAAATTGAACCGCTTACGACAACATCGCCGACTGCCGGTCACCCGGTAATAGTTTATTTTGTTTTTTCTTGAATTTTTTAGTATTTTATTTTTTCAAGTAACTTGTATGGCCTCTGAGACCAATATAAAGACTATTTGGTATATATTCACTCAATGTATACTGCACAATAACAGCACAAACTTTGCTGTCATTATATTGTTTACAAAATATGTTTACACAAACCAACAATAAAAAATGTTGTTTATTACTGTTTTTCTACCATATATATATATATATATATATAAATTCTAGGTAGTAGGTTGGTGGACAGCAACCACCCAGGGAGGTACTACCATCCTGCCAAGTGATTGTAAAACAAAAGCCTGTAATTATTTTACATGATGGTAGGATTGCTGGTGTCTTTTTTCTGTCTCATAAACATGCAAGATTTCAGGTACGTCTTGCTACTTCTACTTACACTTAGGTCACACTACACATACATGTACAAGTATATATATACACACCCCTCTGGGTTTCCTTCTATTTTCTTTCTAGCTCTTGTTCTTGTTTATTTCCTCTTATCTCCATGGGGAAGTGGAACAGAATTCTTCCTCCGTAAGCCATGAGCGGAGAAGCAGCTTATAAACCGTAGGCAGGAGAGGTGCAGCAGTCGTAGGTGTTGTCACATTTGTCCAATGTGGAAGTAGATCATGCCCAAGGGTTAGGCAAGCGAAGAATTCCCAAGTATTAAGAGCCCAAGAAGTTGCAGTGTCTGACAGGATTGTAGATGAATGGTTCAGAGAACCGACATGTTGTTGAATTAGACACATGTGCAACTCTTGGGTATCTTTATTGAGGAAACATTTTGCCACACAGTGGCTTCATCAGTCCATACAAAGGACTGATGTGGACTGACCACATCGACTCAAGGTTGAGGGACTGATTATTACCTCATTCTCCTCCTGTTCTTCAAGTTTCTCCTTTGTATGGACTGATGAAGCCACTGTGTGGCAAAAAGTTTCCTCAATAAAGATACCCAAGAGTTGCACATGTGTCTAATTTATCAACATGTTAGTTCTCTGAGCCATTCATCTACAATCCTGTCAGACACTGCAACTTCTTGGGTTCTTAATACTTGGGAATTCTTCACTTGCCTAACCCTTGGGCACGACCTACTTCCACATTGGACAAATGTGACAACACCTACGACTGCTGCACCTCTCCTGCCTAGGGTTTATAAGCTGTTTCTCCGCTCATATGCCGTATTCTATTCAAGATTGATGGACTGACCACATCGACTCAAGATTGAGGGACTGATTACCTCATTCTCCTCCTGTTCTTCAAGTTTCTCCTTTGTATGGACTGATGAAGCCACTGTGTGGCGAAACGTTTCCTCAATAAAGATACCCAAGAGTTGCACATGTGTCTAGTGTATCTTAGAGAGGTTGCTTACTGTTATGGAGACCTTCTGGGTTATGTGCTGGATGTGAGTGTTGAATTTTAAATTGCTTGCAAGGTACAGACCTAAGAATTTTCACCTGTCTTATAATGACCGAATCATTTGTCACTGAATTGAGTTGTACATATGTAGCTGTTCCCAAATGTCATGTAGAAGGTCTTGTCAATATTAAGAGTTTATTGGTATTCATCCAGGTAAATACCTAGCCGGTGGGAGAATTGGACCTACCTTACATGGGCCAGCAGGCCTGTTGCAGTGTTCCTTCTTTCTTATGTTCTTATGAAACCAGATTTATCATATGTAAACAGAATCAGTTTAAGTTCATAAAATACATGAGGAAGGTCATAGATACAAATGAGGGAAAACTAGAGTACCAAGGTCACTGTCCTGAGGCACCCCTGTGTTAATAGGTCAAATTGACAAGGTTGTATCATTCATGGGAGATGTGTTGGTTTCTGCCTTTAAGATAGGACTTCAAGTATGCAAAAGCATGACCTCTGATGCCATAATGTTCTAATTTAAGAAGCAGGATGTTGTGCTCTGCTGTATTGAAAGCTCTCCTAAGGTCTATGAAGAGGCCCAGTGGCTCTTTGCTGGCAGTAGTGGCTTGCGATGCCAGCAATACCTATACTGTCGTACTGCATCAAACATCTATTTTTAATAATTTTTTATCTTGTTTCGACAAAATAAAAAATTCGCTTATAAATACATTGAAAACTACGTACAACAGATTTTTCCTGTAATTGTCAGTTGCAAATTATTTTAGCGTAAGGTTGGTGAAGTCAAACATCTGGCAGTGAGCATCTGGGGGACTCTGTAGCTCCTATGAACAAGCTGCAACTGATTGTTGGGAAAATTTTGGTTTTTAACGATTTGTTGAACAATGTTGCCATGGTGGGTGAGAGCAAATGAGGTGCTTTCTTATATATTAATAGTGGTAATATTAGGTTTCCTGCCATGTTTTTCAGTGAATTTACTATCAAAGTAACCTGAGTGGGGTTAGTTTGGGATAGATATAAAGAGCCTGTGACATAGTTGCTAGCTGGGGCATTTTAATTTGGCATTTTGCTGGCCAGGCTTGATCCTACACTAGAGAAGAAATAATTGAGAATATTAGCCATGTCAGCAAGTTGGATGGAAGGTTCAGTTGGTTTAGTCTGAATTTATAAGTTCTTTTTCCAGGTCTTGTTCATATTCCCTTTTATTTCATCAACTCTGCTGGCATAATACACATTTTCAGTATGGTGAGTATTGATGTGTAATAGTTTGACTTCTTTGGGTATTAATCCCAGTCTATTTTATTTTTTATAGAGATGTTTTTTGTTAATAGGCAGTAAGTTGGTAGACAGCAACTACCCAGGGAGGCACTACTGTCCTGCCAAGTGAGTGTAAAATGGTAGGATTGCTGGTATCTTTTTTCTGTCTCATAAACATGCAAGATTTCAGGTACATTTTGCTACTTCTCCTTAGACTTAGGTCAGACTACACTTGCATGTACAAGCATATATATGCACACCCCTCTGGGTTTTCTTCTATTTTCTTAGTAGTTCTTGTTTATTTCCTCTTATCTCCATGGGGAAGTGGAACAATTCTTCCTCCGTAAGCCATGCGTGTTGTAAGAGGCGACTAAAATGCTGGGACCAAGGAGCTAGTAACCCCTTCTGTATACATTACTAAAGTTAAAAAGATGAACTTTTGTTTTTCTTTTTGGGCCACCCTACCTTGGTGGGATACTGCCAGTTTGTTGAAAGAAGAAAGAATGTGTTTTGTCAATGGATCTGAGGTTGGTGTTTATTAGCCATGGGTTATTTAGTTTTTTCATCATTATCTGCTTGGTATTTATAGGACATTGTTATTGTAGATTCTTTGTTGTTTTGTAGGATAGCAATAATGTATGTCAGTGTCCTTATTGTCAGTAAACTCACTATGTAATGAAGATATTTACTCATGTCTCTTCTTACTAGCTACAAGTGGTAATTTATATATGTTAGTCATGAGGAAGGTACAGTAGTGATCAGTAGTATTGTCTGTGATTATCCCTGCTGTGTGAGGAGCTAATATGTTGATCCAGATATGGTCAAGTGAGGATGCCATTGACTCACAAATTCTTGTTGGCTTAATTATAGATAGTATTAGTGAACAGTTGTTTATGTTAAGGAAGGTGGCTACTTGCTGATCCTCTAATTAGATGAGGTTAATGTTGAAGTTATTAACACATTCACACATTGAAGTCTATTTTTAGTTTATTGTTTATGATTAACCCAGGCTTTTGTTGGTAGGCGTATGTGTTGTTAAGTTAACATTATGTTAGGCCATACAGTAATAGTTTCATCAAAATTTTTTATTGTTTTAGAAACTGTCATGTCAGAACAAGGGTTGACAGTAATAAATATTTAATCAAAATCAGTAACCTGAATCAGAATTTCCAAAGAGTCTTCTCAGATTCAAATACAAATTTTTATTTCTTTTTGTAGTATAAAAATAATAGTTTACATGTAATTAAACTTTGGTAAGCACAAAAGGAAGCTACTAGTATGTAATGCATTGCAGACAAAGTAATCCTAATACTTAAAGACGTAGACTATTAAGTAGGATTTCTTATGTGGCTCACTACAATTATATGTACGATAAGAAAGGTAGCTAATGAACAAATGGTACAGTTTTGAAAGTATGAGTTATTATTTAAACCGAGTCAGTGATCTTCATATTCGTGGAGTCATTGAATAGAGATGAAAATACAGCAAGTTACTCTTACAACTCATAAACACTTCGGCAATGGTGAAAATATTTTTAAAACTGCTGAATTTGTTTTACAGTTAGTTGACAGAGTATTGTGTGTGGCAGGTCCAGAGAAAGGTGGAGTGAGGGTGCCACAAGTGGCTGTCATACGCGAGGAAGGAACTAATGGTGACAGAGAGATGGCAGCGGCACTCCTGCAAGCTGGGTTTTGTGTTCATGATGTCACCATGACTGACCTCCTGGCTGGTGGTATCGTGCTGGAGGGTTTCCAGGGAGTGATCTTCCCTGGAGGCTTCAGTTATGCTGGTAAGGCAATAGTAACTTTCACACTTACGTTAACTTTCTCAAGTGAATTTTTCTTCAGTAAGATTTTTATATCTTAAATGTCTTCCTTGAATGTTACTTTATACATTGTTTCCTTGTATAAGTAACTGAAGCAGGTCTTGGTTTGCATGTGTTATATATTGCTTCTTGTGTTTTTCATTATTCCCTGTGTTATACATTGTTCCCTATGTTACTCATTGTAGATGCGTAATTTTTTTTTTTTTTCAACAAGTCGACCGTCTCCCACCGAGGCAGGGTGACCCAAAAAAGAAAGAAAATCCCCAAAAAGAAAATACTTTCATCATCATTCAACACTTTCACCACATTCACACATTATCACTGTTTTTGCAGAGGTGCTCAGAATACAACAGTCTAGAAGCATACACATATAAAGATACACAACATATCCCTCCAAACTGCCAATATCCCAAACCCCTCCTTTAAAGTGCAGGCATTGTACTTCCCATTTCCAGGACTCAAGTCCGACTATATGAAAATAACCGGTTTCCCTGAATCCCTTCACTAAATATTACCCTGCTCACACTCCAACAGATCGTCAGGTCCCAAGTACCATTCGTCTCCATTCACTCCTATCTAACATGCTCACGCACGCTTGCTGGAAGTCCAAGCCCCTTGCCCACAAAACCTCCTTTACCCCCTCTCTCCAACCCTTTCGAGGATGACCCCTACCCCGCCTTCCTTCCCCTATAGATTTATATGCTTTCCATGTCATTCTACTTTGATCCATTCTCTCTAAATGACCAAACCACCTCAACAACCCCTCTTCTTCCCTCTGACTAATACTTTTATTAACTCCACACCTTTTCCTAATTTCCACACTCCGAATTTTCTGCATAATATTTACACCAGACATTGCCCTTAACCCTTTCAGGGTCCGTCCCGTAGATCTACGGCTTTACGTTCAGGGTCCAAACCGTAGATCTACGCCATGAGCTCAGCTCACTCTGATAAACTGTGAGTGGTACATTTGGGCCTAGATATGAGAGAATACATCTATGTGGTATGTGTGCACCACATAAAACAGATCCTGCAGCACACTGTGTATAATGAGAGAAAAAAACTTAAATCATGATTTTTCGATTAAAACAGCAACTTTGCAGTGTTTTTTCGTATGTTTTTTATAGTTCTATTTGCGATTTCTTGGTCTCATTTGATAGAATGGAAGACATATTACAGAAATAGAGATGATTTTGATTGGTTTTAGCACTGGAAATGGCTTGAAACTGAGTTCAAAGTAGCGGAAATGTTAAATTTTTGCCGATATTCAAGAGTAAACAAACGACCTCACACGTCTAATACACGTCAGCTGGTGGGTCTAATATACATTCAGAAATATGTTGATGATATTTATACAATTATTACAGTATTGCATAACAGTAAATCTTCTATTTTTTGGTGTGAATAAAAATTCATTATGTGAATAAAAAATCAAAATGGAATTTATTTGTAAAGCCTCAAAACGTAACTAATGAACAGAGGAAACGTTAGTTTAGTGCCAGGAATGCCTACATTGTTTATTCTGGACCCTATTTTGAAATTGGAATATTTTGAACTTTGTGTTAAATTGGCCAAATTAACAATTTCCGATCACTTTATTTTGTAGTTGAAACAGTTGACTTGGCAATTTCTTGTGCTCAATCGATAGAATAGAAGTAATACTAGTGAAATAGCTAAGAATTTGGTTGATTGGAATAATGTAATTGGTCTAAAATGGGAGTCAAAGTCAGCAAAATCGCCGATTCGTAAATGTCGCTGACACATCAAAATTCGCGAGAGCATAATTTCGTCAATTTTCCACCAAATTTCGTACTTTTTGTTTTATTACCTTCACAAAAAGATTCTCTACGATTTCATAAGAAAAAATAATTTTTTTTTTTAAATTCTTGGACACTGGTGCGTGACTCCAGATTTGGGCCTTGGACCCTGAAAGGGTTAACCCTTTCAGGGTCCGTCCCGTAGATCTACGGCTTTATGGTGAGTGTCCAAACCGTAGATCTACGCCATGAGCTCAGCTCACTCTGATAAACTGTGAGTGGTACATTTGGGCCTAGATATGAGAGAATACATCTATGTGGTATGTGTGCACCACATAAAACAGATCCTGCAGCACGCTGTGTATAATGAGAGAAAAAAACTGAAATCATGATTTTTCGATTAAAACAGCAACTTTGCAGTGTTTTTTCGTATGTTTTTTATAGGTGTATTTGCGATTTCTTGGTCTCATTTGATAGAATGGAAGACATATTACAGAAATAGAAATGATTTTGATTGGTTTTAGCAATGGAAATGGCTTGAAACTGAGCTCAAAGTAGCGGAAATGTTAAATTTTTGCCGATATTCAAGAGTAAACAAACGACCTCACACGTCTAATACACGTCAGCTGGTGGTCTAATATACATTCACAAATATGGTGATGATATTTATACAATTATTACAGTATTGCATAACAGTAAATCTTCTATTTTTTGGTGTGAATAAAAATTCATTATGTGAATAAAAAATCAAAATGGACTTTATTTGTAAAGCCTCAAAACATAACTAATGAACAGAGGAAATGTTAGTTTAGTGCCTGGAATGCCTACATTGTTTATTCTGGACCCTATTTTGAAATTGGAATATTTTGAACTTTGTGTTAAATTGGCCAAATTAACAATTTCGATCACTTTATTTTGAGTTGAAACAGTTGACTTGGCGATTTCTTGTGCTCAATCGATAGAATAGAAGTAATACTAGTGAAATAGCTAAGAATTTGGTTGATTGGAATAATGTAATTGGCCTAAAATGGGAGTCAAAGTCAGCAAAATCGCCGATTCGTAAATATCGCTGACACATCAAAATTCGCGAGAGATAATTTCGTCAATTTTCCACCAAATTTCGTACTTTTTGTTTTATTACCTTCACAAAAAGATTCTCTACGATTTCATAAGAAAAAAATAACAATTTTTTTTTTGAAATTCTTGGACACTGGTGCGTGACTCCAGATTGGGCCTTGGACCCTGAAAGGGTTAAACAGGACATCTCCACTGCCTCCAACCGTCTCCTCGCTGCTGCATTTACCACCCAAGCTTCACACCCATATAAGAGTGTTGGTACTACTATACTTTCATACATTCCCTTCTTTGCTCCATAGATAACGTTTTTTGACTCCACATATACCTCAATGCACCACTCACCTTTTTTTTCCCTCATCAATTTTATGATTAACCTCTCCTTCATAAATCCATTCCCGACACGTCAACTCCCAAGTATCTGAAAACATTCACTTCTTCCATACTCCTCCTCCCCAATTTGATATCCAATTTTTCTTTATCTAAATCATTTGACACACCTCATCACCTTACTCTTTTCTATGTTCACTTTCAACTTTCTACCTTTACACACATTCCCAAACTCATCCACTAACCTTTGCAATTTTTCTTTAGAATCTCCCCTAAGCACAGTATCATCAGCAAAAAGTAACTGTGTCAATTCCCCTTTTGAATTTGATTCCCCAAAATTTAATCCCACCCCTCTCCCGAACACCCTAGCATTACTTCCTTTACAACCCCATCTATAAATATATTAAACAACCATGGTGACATTACACCATCCCTGTCTAAGACCTACTTTACCGGGAAGTAGTCTCCCTCTCTTCTACACACCCTAACCTGAGCCTCACTATCCTCATAAAAACTCTTTACAACATTTAATAACTTACCACCTATTCCATATACTTGCAACATCTGCCACATTGCTCTCTATCCACTCTATCATATGCCTTTTCTAATCCATAAATGCAATAAGAACTTCCCTACCTTTATCTAAATACTGTTCACATATATGCTTCAATGTAAACACTTGATCTACACATCCCCTACCCACTCTGAAACCTCCTTGCTCATCCACAATCCTACATTCTGTCTTACCTCTAATTCTTTCAATTATAACCCTACCGTACACTTTTCCTGGTGTACTCAGTAAACTTATTCCTCTATAATTTTTACAGTCTCTTTTGTCCCCTTTCCCTTTATATAAAGGGACTATACATGCTCTCTGCCAATCCCTAGGTACCTTCCCCTCTTTCATACATTTATTAAACAAAAGTACCAACCACTCCAACACTATATCCCCCCCTGGTTTTAACATTTCTGTCATGATCCCATCAGTTCCAGCTGCTTTACCCCCTTTCATTTTACGTAATGCCTCATGTACCTCCCCCACACTTACATTCTGCTCTTCTTCACTCCTAAAAGATGGTATACCTCCCTGACCAGTGCATGAAATTACCGCCTCTCTTTCTTCCTTAACATTTAAAAGTTCCTCAAAATATTCTTGCCATCTACCTAATACCTCCATCTCCCCATCTACTAAACTCCCCTACTCTGTTTTTAACTGACAAAATCCATACTTTCCCTAGGCTTTCTTAACTTGTTTAACTCACTCCAAATTTTTTTCTTATTTTCATTAAAATTTCTTGACAGTGCCTCTCCCACTCTATCATCTGCTCTCCTTTTGCACTCTCTCACCACTCTCTTTACCTTTCTTTTACTCTCCATATACTCTGCTCTTCTTATAACACTTCTGCTTTGTAAAAACCTCTCATAAGCTAACTTTTTCTCTTTTATCACTCCCTTTACTTCATCATTCCACCAATCACTCCTCTTTCCTCCTGCCCCCACCCTCCTATAACCACAAACTTTTACTCTCCATATACTCTGCTCTTCTTATAACACTTCTGCTTTGTAAAAACCTCTCATAAGCTAACTTTTTCTCTTTTATCACTCCCTTTACTTCATCATTCCACCAATCACTCCTCTTTCCTCCTGCCCCCACCCTCCTATAACCACAAACTTTTACTCTCCATATACTCTGCCAGTTCATATAATGCCAGTTCATAATTGAATTGCCATTATGCATCTACTCTGACTCAACAATTGTTAGTCACTGTAATTCATTTTAATTATATAAATAAGTGTCTTTTGTAGTTAGTAGGTTGGTAGAGAGCAACCACCCAGGGAGATACTACCATCCTGCCAAGTGAGTGTAAAACAGAAGCCTG